GCGGGGAAGAGTCCTTGGACATCTTCGAGCGGAAGCGCCGGGTCCACTCCAGAGAGAGGGTTCTTATTGGTGTTGATGGAAGTGTAGTGTGGGGGACGGGCGGAGGACGTTTTTTTTGTTTGTGTCACCGTGATTTTTTGGGGGGTTTTCTGTTAGGTGCTGTACGGTTTCGTGTGTCTTGCTGCTGGCAGTGGCAGCCGCAGTAGCAGCAGCAGCAGAGTAGTAGCTAGGCAGGTACGCGAGATCCAGCGGGACGTGACCTGCGTGGGGCTACTTTGGAAAGGAATACAAAGCGAAACTAGAGAGCCAACGCCAGCATCATCGACTTCAGTACCAGGCCAGGATGAGCAAAATCGGCAGGGGCTGCTGCTACATACAGCAGTCGCAGCCAGCGCTGCAATGAAAGGCGCACCATGGTCTTCCACCAACGCACACAGGCACAAACGCCGACAAAAAAGTCGACGGAAATTGAATCGATCATTCCTTCCCACCTCTGTTGGACGTACAAGATGTCTTCCACCCACTCCTCGTACAAGAGGGCGTCGGTCGTGCCGAGGAGCAGGAAAGAGCCGGAGGACGGCTGCCTCAGCTGCACCACATACCTGACCCCCCCCGAACACAAGAAATACAACAGCACGCGAAAGGGGCGTACAAAAATCAGGTCCCCGGTGCCTCGTCTACCCGAGCGGCAAAGATGAAATTATGAATCCTGTCACAGCCATCAACACGCCTGAGTCAGTCCTGCTTGCAGAGGATGCCGTTGGCCTAGAAACACTGCTGTGGCGACATATGTTTCCAGCTCACGTCACTCACCGGTCCTGTCCGTAAGTGTTCGTCTACAAACGCTACTCCCGAAAACCATCTGCGCTGGGTATGCAGCATGCGAAGGCGTCTTGCGGGATCGCTTCATACTGCAGGCATACGAAAGATCGACATCAAATCATTGGCCAGCCGATCAGCGCGGGCAACGATACTCGAAGCACAACACAGGCACCTACCCACCCACTCACACATCATGGCCCATTGAAGCATTTTGCGTTTTCAAATGCACGGAGACGAATTCATTGGTCAGCCGGTTAGCGCGGGTCGATGCCAGTAACACCAAAAAAGGCACAAAACAAGAAACTCACCGGGCATCGCCTGCCCGCTTGCCAACCCTCGAGAGCTCCCACTCCGCCAGGTCGACATCATCTGCATCGTCGTCATCCTCGTCGTCTTCGACGTCGTCATCGTCGTAGTAATAGTCACGGTGGTCCCTCCTTCCTCCTCCTCTTCCTTCCTCGTCGAACAACGACCCTTTCCTCGCGGCAAAGCCCTCCTCCGTCTCTTCTCCCCGCTCGTCGAACGTGGCCGACCCTTCCCCGTCACCGAGGCTGCCACCCATTCCCCGCCCCCCCTTTCCTACTCGCCTGGAGGGACCCATCCGCTTCAGCCCCTTCACGATTTTATTCCACTGTTGGGGCGATCGCGTTGGCGAAAGGGGCGTGTCGTCTTGCGGTTGCCCGTGTTGAAAATACGATGGGGCGTGATCTTTCATAACGGTATATTTTGTGAAACTCAACCGGAGGAGCTTGGGCGGGAATGGACTTTTTTCGTTCAAAAGTGACACGACAGGATAGGGAATTACGCGTGGACTCAGATCAAGCTACAGAGTAACCCGTCGTCACCGGCGGGCGGTCAGGTCCAGAATTAACGAGGTTCGAAATCAAATTCAAATCGACCTCCGACTGGAAAAAACAAGTCTCGTCTGAGTTTCCAGCAGAGCTCATTGCTTTCCTGACCTTGAGGAAAGGATAATTTTTCGCTTCCAAAGTCAGGAAATCAAAATTCTAACAACAAACACCTTTGACAATATGGTGACTGTTCGGGGTCAAGCTCGAAAAATACCGCACCTCCTCTCCGTGGAACAAGGACCCCGCGTTTTTTTTGCAAAACCAGCATCAAAAGCGGTGTGCACACCCTGTACAACAAAAAACGCCTCCCTAACGTTACAATCATCGACAACGAGATCAACCCCACCCCTTTAAAATCAACAATGTTTGTCATCGGTCGGATGCAAACCTTTAGGCTGTGTAGCGGCTGACAAGTTTCCATTTTCCCCGCGACAGTAACATCACCTTCTCCGCCGACCCAGACGTACTAGCAGCCGAAGAGGAAGGGCTCTCAGCAACCACCTGCTCCCGCCCGGCGGCGGCGGCGGCGCCACCCCCGCCTCCGGACACCGCCGCCATGAAACCGCTGGCCAGGCGGGACGAGGCCCCGCTCCTCATGTTGCTGCTGGTGTTGCTGCTGTTGCTCGCCCAGGTGGTCATCCCCTCCGTCCTGGCGCTCATCGACGCGGCACGGCTGACGACGCTGTCGTTCCTGCTCCCCCCCCCGCCGCCGCTGCCGCCGCCCTTCGACTTGACCATGGAGGCCCAGTTGGGCGGCGAGGGGGGGTCATTCCAGT